CTGTGTGTGTAACACACACACACACACACACACACACACCCCGGTGTTCAGTGCAGAGCAGTGACAGGGATCCCTTCTCTGCTTTGCAGAGACTCTAACTCCCTGCAGTTGCCTCCTTATCTGGCTCTCCCCTCCTCTGGGGTGGGCCCCAGGTGAGTGCTGCCAGGAGAGATGCTCCACACCCCGGCCTGTCCTGAGCTCCCTGACCCGCTGGGCCCAGGGGAGGCTGCAACTCTGTATATGGCACAAGAGTGACCTCCAGTGGCCTGCGCCCAGCTTGCATCGGTGGGCAGGGCACTGGATCCAGCTCCGGTTTGCTCTGGCTTTGGGGGCAGGCAGTGTCTGGGTGAGCTGCCTCGAGGGCCTGGGGCAGGACTGCACTGCCGGGTGGCACGCTGGTCCTGTGCTCAGCGCAGCGGCTCCTGAAGGCACCAAGAGCCGTGTGAGGCCTGGCTGCTCCCCCGTTGTCCTGGCTGGCAGAAGGGGCAGTGCCAGCACCGCAGCAGCGGGGAGAGGGCAGCAGGGCCCACGTAGGAAGCTGGATGGCCTGGTTACTGATGAGTTTTCTGGGCCCTGTCCAGCTACTCCCCCATGGAGAGTGGAGACCCAGGTCCAACCTGCTTCCCCCCAGGGAGGGAGAGGAGGAGCAGGGTGACCCTGCTCCTGATGACCCTTTGGCTCTGGCCCAGGTGACAGCCCCCAGGGCTCCAGGCCATGTCATGCCCCAGTCACATTGACCCCCATAAGCCCCAGCTGCAGCCCTGCTGGCTTCCAGTTCCGGAGCACGCCCCGCTCAGCTGCGGCAGTGAGCGGAAAGGAGGCCAGGCTCCAGCACAGCTGAGCTGCGTGGAGGTTTGGCGAGGAGGCCCCTGAGGCATATTACAGCAGCAAGCAGAGGTCCCAGCCCTGCCCAGACAGTCCCTGCCCCAGGAGCTGGCAGCAGAGAGACAGACTGGCCCAGGAAGTTCCCCCTTTTCACAAGTGGGGAGCAGAGGCCCAGAGAGACTTGCCCACCGGGGAAATAATTGGGAGCTCTGGGCACTGAAGCAGGACACCAGCATGGTAACGAGGAGCTCAGCCTTCTGTGGCTCCAGGCTTGCTGGGTTTGGCAGGGGAGGGATGCTATGAGCGCACAGACCAGCCCTGCCTTTGCTTTGCTCTCAGCATGAGCCGGGACATCCTGCTGCTGCTGGCATCTTCCTCCCCGAGGTCTCCAGCTAGCTGGTGTCCTGCACACGGTCCTTCTACGGCCAGGGCTCTTTGGACTCTGGTGGTGTCATCCCCACGGAGCCCTGCCACTAGCCCGTCGCCCCAGTCACCTTGTACTGTGAACCGGAGATAACACATCGCAGGTGAGCTGCAGCCTGGGCCCCGGAGCCAATGTGCTGCATCTCTGGGGAAGCTCTGGGTTGCCACCGGCTGGGGGACGAGCTGTGGGGAGACATTGAAATGTGAACTAGGAAAACTCAGGGGGAGGCTTGCGCTGACGCCTGCAGCTGTGCCCATCCGGCGCTCTCCATTTCTCCCTCAGCGCTTAGGTGGCTTGTCTTACGCTCAGGCTGCATCTCCTCCTGCTGCTGCTCGTTCCCCTCCTCGGGGCTGAACCGTGCCCTGTGACATCATAAGCGGCCGCCATGGAACTGACTGTGATGTCACAAAGCGAGGAATATGATGTCAGGTGGGGGATATGCCTCGTGGGGGCCAGGGCCCATTCCAAGCCCTGTCTCAGTGCCGAGCAGCTCCGAGCCAGGACTCCTACAAGGCGGGTTGCTCTCTAGCTCAGGGCGAGGGAGGGGGAACTCGCAGGACAGCGAGTGCCATCCAGGGGGTGGGAAATGGCCCTCCCCCCAGCCCGCAGGCCCCCCATGCCTGTGGTCACGAAGGAGACCAATGGCTGCAGCCCCCGGGACGAGGGACAAGCTGGGTGCGTGGCCAGGGGAATGGGGCTCATCTTGCCCCGAAGACTATCTAACTTGCCCCTGGCTGGCCCCACAACTGGGGAAGCTCCCGGCGGGTTAAAGGCACATTTGCCCCCAGTCTCGGCCCTGAGGCCATGGGGGGCCTGTCTGTTGTGCAGATGCTCGTTTTGCCAGGTGCCCAGGGCAGTGGCGGCAGGAGGAATGCGTAGCCAGGGCACTGGCCACGTCCCAGCCCAACGGGGACTCTGTGCTGGGCGAGGGGTCCCTGCTAGCCATGCCCGGCTGGGATCCTGCTTCTGAGCCCGGTCACTGGTGATTGTATCCACCTTACCACAGGAGGGGGCTCGCCCGCTCGGAGAGGACAGAAGGGCTGTGGCCAGCAGCCACGTCACAGACTCACCTTCCCAGTGTGGGTTTGGGACAGGCCCTCAGCCTTGCAATGAGCAAGAGAGGAAAGACTC